AACGAGGAACAGGTGGGAACACAGCCGGGAGAAATTAGACCTAACGAGACAGAGGAAACTGCAAACTGAACACACTGACATACGGACCTTCACAATAAAACAGGAAATACAACTGGCTCAAGGGCACAGACTTGAAACTACACAGAGGGGACAAAGAACAGGGACCTAGAAATACAAAACAAACCATCGCCCTTGCAGTCAAAATCCAGAAGAAAACAAAGATCAATGACAACACAAAAACCTAAAACACTGGGTCACCGACCCAAGACCATGACAGTCGGACTCTGTAGTTTTCTCTGGTCCCCTCCCCAATTAGACCAGGAGTGACATAGCTGCATGTTCTCCTTAAATTGCGGGCTGTCTGAGTGGTGTCCAAAAAACGATGTGGGCTTTAATGATAATTGGTAAATTTTCTGGAGGAAACCTGGTCTTGTTAGGAGAGACTTGGGCAAGTCAACCACTTGGGCAAGTTTAAGAGTATATTTGAGGTGTGCAACAATGGAAAAAAACAGTATGTACTAAAAAAAAACTATCTCACCATTGATCTCTGCCTTTGCTATAGCAACAAGACCATAAGAAAAACAGTTTCAGTTCACACAAAAAAGAATAAACACATCAACTTTCGGTTTCATCTACTTTAAGCCTAATTCACTTGACAAAGACATTGCATTTTTGACATTTTCTATTATATATAATTAGCTACAACCTGCTTACACTAAGATAACTGTGCTTTAATTTAAAAAGAAGTGGTTAGAAGTGTCAAAATTGCAGGTCCTGGCCTTTTTATATTCCTACCAGTCCTCCTAGTTGGTTCTTTCACCAGAGAAAAGTACATTTTCTCTTGTTGTCTATAAGACTGTGAGTCAACTGTTTCAACAAGTTATCCATTTTTGTTCCAGTACTCAAATACCTGTAGTGTGCCTCTGACATATCAGTCATATCAAGTGGCATTCCATTGTCATTGTCATTCCAAGCATGTGCAGTGGTACAGTACACAGTGAAACAAGACAACATTCCTCCAAGACGATGGTACTACAAATTACATATTACAGACAATCAGCACAGGACTACATAAAGTGCAAAAATTACAAAAAACTAAGTAAAGACACCATGTAGAACAGAATGTTATAGACACAAGAAAGTGCAGACACAACAGTGCAATAGAAATGTGCAAAAGACTGAGTATTGTGCAAAAAGTACAGTGGGTACGGAAAGTATTCAGACTAGGGATGGACCGATCCGATATTCCGTATTGGTATCGGTCCGATACTGACGTAAATTACTGGATCGGATATTGGAGAGAAATAAAAAATGTAATCCGATCCATTAAATATTAAAAAAGCACCTCACAAAACTTGCAACATGGCGTAACTCGGCCCATAACTGTAGCACGTCAGAGCAGTGTGCTCACATGATAGAGCGGCTGTGTGTATTTGTAGCATTTGTAGCTATGTAACAGGGAAAAGGGGGCACACCATTGTTTTTCTTGTGACATTACCAATAAGTTTGATGCGTCACATGGCCCTCTTCCTATTGAAAAAACAAAAGATATATCCAAGATGGCCGACTTCTAAATAGCCACCATGGTCACCACCCATCTTGAGGAGTTTGCCCCCTCACATATATTAATGTGCCACAAACAGGACTTTAATATCACCAACCATTCCCATTTTATTACGGTGTATCCATATAAATGGCCCACCCTGTAGTGAAAACCTTCTGGCACTTGGCTATGCCTAGAAATTCTGTCCTTAAAAATTATGAAAAGAGTCCGCGACAAAGGGCAGCCCTGGTGGAGTCCATCAGCCACCGGAAACAAGTCCGAGTTATTGCTGGCTATGCGGACCAATCTCTTGCAGCGGTTGTATAATGATCGAATGGCCCGTAGTAATGGCCCAAACACCCCATGGTCCCGGAGCACCCCCAAAAGGACAGATTTTCCCAGGGAGGCTGAGGAGTGTGATCAGCCTGTAGCTGGAACACACCCTCTGATCCCCTTTCTTAAAGGTGGGAACCACCATCCCGGGCTGCCAGTCCAAAGGTACTGCCCCTGATCTCCACGAAACATTGTAGAGGTGTGTCAACGAGGACGGCCATACAAATTAATTGGCTTGCACTGGCTGCCCATAAAGTACCGTATTCAATTTAAAATATTACTCCTTACGTTCAAAACTGTTAATAAATTAGTGCCGAGTTATCTTAGTGAACTTCTCAGGCCACATACTCCTGCTAGACCACTTAGATCTGCTACTCAACTACCTCTGATGCAACCTAGATCTTGGCTGAAGTCTCTGGGTGACTGTGTTTGCGCTGGCTGCCCCGGTACTGTGGAATAACCTCCCTCTCGCTATCTGCGCCTCTGATTCTATTGCACTGTTTAAATCACAACTAAAGACCAACTTACTCATATTCTTTCCTTTCCTTTTAGTTAACATTTCACTTATGATTTTACATTATGAGCACTTTTATGCTCATTTAATTCCTTGTTTGTTTTGTATCCGCTGCTTCTCCTATGTATCAGTGACAGTTATCTGCTTATATACTTAGTACTTGCTTTGGTCCTATTTCTATTTCTATTATCTTACTTTTATTCTCTATGTTACTTGTTAAGCACCTTGGTATACCCTTGGGTTTTTAGTTTTATGGTTATTATTATTATTATTATTATTATTATTATTATTATTATTATTATTATTATTAACCTTAAAGCAATGGTTGGATCAATAGTCCTCTTTTGTCAGCCTGACTACAGTGCTGAAGAGAAGTCTAGCGTTGTTCTTATTCTCTTCAATCAGTGATAAATAGTAAGATGTTCCAGTTTTATGGAGGGATTTCTTATAGAGCAACAAACTATTTCTCCAGGCTAAATGATGATAAATTAGTGACACACCATTTCCTCTCCAGCTTATCTCCTTTAAGGTACGCATTTGAGAGTTACAACAGAGAGTCAAGTACTTCAGCTTCATGGTTCCCTTCATCATGACTTCTTTTCCTGTCCCTCCTGCACTTTAACATTTATTTTGTCGATAAATTGACAAAATAAATGCTATTTTGCTAGAATGTTGTTGAAGCAAAATAATCACTATTCCAGTATAATTTTGGAGGAATTGTAATGATTTTGTATTAATTTAGGCTTAGATTGAACTTTTGTAACATGCTTTTGGCAGTTAAAATAATCAAGCTGAAGATTTCCATGTGTATTGATGATTTATTCAGTGAAGTTTTCAAAATCAATGACAATTTCAGTGCAACAAAGGTGATTTCATATTGAGATATAATTAATATTAAGATATTGCGGTCAATTTTTAATTTCATTGTAAATTACATGCATAATACAATTTAAATACATACATCTGTATTATAAACCCTAACCAGTTTGGAGTGCTTCAGTTTTTCTGAATCAGATTAGATACACTTCCACTTTTTATCACATTGCTGAAGGTAAAATAACATAATAGAAAACAACCATGAAAAAAAATCAGAGGAGATATATCAGAGACATGTATCACAACTAGTATAAGGAGGCACTCTTACAACCAACATACATTTTATTTATTTGTTGCTTTTCTACACTGCAAAGTTAATTTTTGGATTTATTTCATATTTTCACATAGCAGAGGTGGCAGAGTGGTTATGTTTTTTAATCTCTTGAAAGAATGTACATATAGATTAGGATACGCTGCATCAGTGCTTCAATGAACATATATTCATTTTCGTCCCGCACTCGTCTAGCCTCCACCTCTTTGTACATGGCATCTGTGTAGTGTGTGCCCCCATTTCCTGCCACCATGTCATCAATCTTTTTGACCAGCTCCACCACCTGCGTTTTATTTGTCACTGTGTTTTCAAAGACGTGAAACCTGTTTCCACACCTTTGAATGATGCTGCGAAGCCCTGTCTTATCTTCACGTACATACTCCTGTATGGTTATGCTTCCAAGATCAGCACCACGTGTGAACAGCACAATCATGTACTGATTAGCTTGTGGACCAAAAAGCTCCTGCAGGGCTTCCACTGAGTTTTTCTCCTCTTTGGTGAATCGACCGATTTGGATAACCAGCAGGAACACATGAGGACCTGGACAAGAGACTTCAACACACCTCACAATTTCTCTTTTGATTAACTCCACTGACATTCCAGTGTCCATGATCCCTGGTGTGTCTACCACACTAACTACTCTGTTGCCCCACTGTGTCACAGCTTTTTCACAGACCTCAGTCACCGACCCAGATGAAGTGTAAGATTTGAAATGTTTCTTTCCCAGGATGGTGTTTCCAACAGCACTCTTGCCCACACCAGTTTTCCCAATCATCACAATCCTCAAATCAGGACCTGAAACACAATTCAATATTTTGATTTAACCTGTCTAAAAATGTATAACAAGAGTGATCATAAACACATATTGACAGTTTTCACAGGAAATGAATTACACACACATAGGATTTACAATATTGCTCACCTGTAGGAAATGAAGCCATATTTTGTCTTCACTGTTGTCACTGAGCAGGTAAAACAGATGAATGCACAGCGATTGTTCAACTTAACTTTTAAAGTGTCAAAGCTGACACGCCTCCATCATTTGCATAACAGCTCTATATAATACAGACAAAGAACAGCACAGCCTGCAGACACCACACAGCATTTCACTGCTCTGAACTGAAGAATCATGTCTCACAGTAAGTTCTGCCAATATTTCTCTATACTGTTTGCTTAGTCTTTGTTGTGTAGCCTGTTAACAAAAAACTCATTTCAGTGTCATTTATATTTGTGTATAAATTTTGTTTCTTTTTACAGACCAGATTTCAGTGGCCATCTTTGGCAAAGTGGAATCATTAAAGAACACTCTAATAACCAACATCCTGGGCCAAGATTTCTCAAAGATATCCAAAGAGATTAGGGAAAATATACAGATATATAAAAATGATACATATGAGATCGTTTGTTCACCAGACACAAAATGTGAATATAAATTGCTCTTTTCTAAGAAACCACACCCTGACATGTGTTTGGTGGTAGTAGAGAAGGGGTTTTCATGTAAAGGTGTGCAGGAGCAGATTGAAGAGCTGAGCAGGGAATCTGGAAAACCTGCAGACGAGTTCACAGTCGTGCTGCCTTTGGGATACACAGAAGAAAATTACCCTTTCAAATCCTGCAAGATTCAGAAGGTTCTCACTGACCTGGAAACACTGGCTACAAACAGAGGTCTAACTCCCACCAGCATGAGGTAAAGCTGAAAGCAGACATTTAGAAACTGATCATATTTTGTGCTAATTTTTTTATTTATTTATTTATTTAAGATCTTTGCCAATACACAGCTATCTGGTTAGTAAACAAGGTCTTTATGTTACAGACCTGATGATTATGCAGAATTCCAGATGGAGGACAATGGTAAGCTGTGTGTATGTGCTTCTTTGTACACACACACACATATACAGTACTGTGCAAAAGTTTTAGGCTGGTGTGAAAAAATGCTCTAAACAAAGAATGCTTTCAGAAACATAAATCATTGTTCATTGGCTCCAAATCTATTGTGCATCCGGACAATGACCCCAAACATAAAGCCAAAGTTATTAAGAACTAAATTCAGCATAAAGAAGAACAAGAAGTCCTGGAGGCGATCATACAGCCCCCACAGAGCCCTGATCTCAACATCATCAAGTGTGTCTGCGATTACATGAAGAGACAGAAGGATGTGAGGAAGCGCACATCCACAGAATATCTGTGGTTAGTTCTCCAAGATGTTTGGAATAACCTACCAGCCAAGGGCGTAGATTTGGCATGGACGGAAGGGACATGTCCCCACCAATATCCAGCGATTATTGAATTGTTCCCACCAATAATTTGATCTCTTCGAGTAAAAGAAAAACCCGATAAAAAGAAAGAAAAAAACCGATCTGTCAGCGTCTCATTCACCCAGCGGTGCAGAAAGAGTTAAATTACGTTCTCTACTGGAGTCCTACGTCATGTGACAAATATGGCCAATGTGATTGGCTGTGCCTTTGAGGGAGCTCTGTTTAGTTTTAGCAACAGCAAACCTGCGCTGCGAGGAGGAGACGAGGACGAAAGAAACCTGTAAGTCACTTAAAGCCAAGTCACTCATAAAATCTGTCCGTCACAATAACGTTACAGGCTATGCTAGGCTTTGGCCCACATCAGTCTAAAACTGTATGTAACCATGAATAACGTGTTTTGGAAACTAACTGCACAACAAGCAGCACTATTAGTTCTCTCAGTCTCAGAGCAGCATTTCTAATTTTGATTGAAACTGTCAGAGAAAACGGCAGCTTTGAGCGAGCCAGGGTATTAGTTTACAGAGGTTGTTAAAATTATATGTCTAACATGGCTAAGGTCAACAATGACTCAAATGAGATTAAACAATGCTGCTGTATGTCCACCAGGAGAGACTGGACAGTATAGATGTAAAACAAATATGCCAGCAGTTTTTCTCAGTTAATGAGAGGAGAAGGCATGTGATTGGCTGCTTCACATAGTGGACATTGAGTTGTTGTGTGGGGCATGTAGTCCATGTCTGTTGCTGTAACAGTAGTTCATGTTTAGAATAAAAAATCCCAGCTCACTGATTTGATCG